ATGTCACAAGCTCAATAACAGGTATGTCCACCATCGGCATTGAGAACAGCAGTGCATCGACGACGCATAGAGCCTATCAAACGTGCAAGGAAGGCTTGTGGGATGTCACGCCAGATTCTCTCAAGTTCTGTTGCAAGGTCAAGGACGTTATCTGGCGGATGAGGAAGACGGCGTAGACGGCGATCCATCTCGTCCCAAACATGCTCTATCGGGGAGAGATCCGGTGAATTTGCAGGCCAAGGCAGTAAGTCAACGTTGTTGTATTGCAAGAAATCCATAGCAACCCTTGCCGTATGAGGGCGGGCATTGTCCTGTTGGTCTGATCCCGTGGTGACGTAAACGTTGTCGAACTGTGTTGGGGTGGATACGGCGAAGTCCTGTGATGGTTCGGGCAGTCATCACTGCAGTCTGAAACCTGTGGCGCAGATGGGTCACCCTTATCCATCTGTCCTGTCTTGGTGTTGTTACACGTGGACGTCCAGAACGTGGCCGATCGATGACGTCATTTGTGTTCTGGTAGCGTCTCACCAGTGCAGAAATGGTGTTCCGGTGGTAGTGGAAATGTGCAGCCACTTGTCGTTGAGACATTCCCCCACGGACCATCCCAATGGCCTCATAACGTTGGCATGCTATGCGTTTCAATAGCCGTTTTTTGAACGATCGCAAGGGCAGGGGTTGAGCTTTCCAAAGTGGCAGTATTGTGTGGCATTCATTTGCTTTGTTTCTCTTTCCCGGAAAGCACGTGCAACAACGTCTTGCACGTCTCAAGGACGAACCCACTGACATCACAGACCGTGGCACGTGCATGCATGTTGGATACATGTCACTAACCTCTGAGTTTAAATCCTTATGTGTCTACACAGGTTTGATAAATTTAGATTATAAATTTTTGTATGCACAGTTTCTTTATGTGCACATCAAGTGCCACGCCACACACATAGTTCTCTGCATTCTGTCTGCCACAACCACACACACACATCAGTTCTTCATTCTGTCTTCAAGTTCTTCATTCTGTCTGCCACAACCAACACACACATCAAGTTCTTCATTCTGTCTGCCACAACCAACACACACATCAAGTTCTTCATTCTGTCTGCCAACACACACATCAAGTTCACTTTATTCTGTCTGCCATGACACACACATCAAGTTCTCTTCATTCTGTCTGCCACGACACACACATCAAGTTCTCTTCATTCTGTCTGCAACAACACACACATCAAGTTCTCTGCATTCTGTCTGCCACAACCAACACACTCATCAAGTTCTTTTCATTCTGTCTGCCACAACCAACACACATCAAGTTCTCTTCATTCTGTCTGCGACGACGAACACACATCAAGTTCTCTTCATTCTGTCTGCCACAACAACATACACACATGCACATGCACACACACACACACCCAGCGACACACCTACCCAGCGACACACCTACCCAAGCTCAACTCTAAGCTGATTTAGACCTCTATGGTAACATAGTTACCATTGGTTTAATACCAGACTTTTGCTGATTATCATAGGGTTCATCTAAATTTATCACCCAAAACTGTTTTGAGAGATATCTCCTAGGTGATATCGCTTTGACAGCACATTTTTTAGAATGCCCTGACAATGCTATGACGTCATGAACTTGATGACGTCACAATGCTATGACACCGCTGCACTGCAAGTCTAATGGCTGTAATGTGTTCAGACATGTATATTTTTCATTGAAAACTAATGAAGAGGGATTTTTTATGATAATTAGCATGTTACCCTCTTATCTTCTGATATATCAAATATATCAACACTCGTTGATAAAAGTAAAAATATCCTCGGCAAGCCTCAGATATTTGGATATTTGTTACTTTATCAACTCATGATGATATATTTGCTAGCAAAAGAGATAGTGAGATTCTCTTTGTATCCCTCACTCACTCACACACTTGTGTTGGAGATTGCTAAAGAGTTGGTCTGCTGAGAATTTAATATCTTGGCCCTGCAGATACCTGTAGTACATCAGTCTTCCGTGTACCATAACATTTGATCATATTAATGAATGCTGACAGAGACACCCAGAGGTTTCTTAACTCCAGGATCTGCTAAGTGTTCCAGGCCAGTGTGATCAACCATAAGGCCTTCTGAGGTGTGTGGGCAGTGGGGTAGCCTAGTGGTTAAAGCGTTCGCTTGTCACGCCGAAGGCCTGGGTTCGATTCCCCACATGGGTACAATTTGTGAAGCCCATTTCTGGTGTCCCCCGCCATGATATTGCTGTAATATTGCTAAAAACGGCGTAAATCCAAACTCAGTCAGTCTGAGGTGTGCTCATGGCTCTTGGTGCGATGGGGACAGTGGTGCACCACAGCTGCCCACCACAGTTGCACACCACAGTTGTGTGGAGTTGTGATGAGGTTTTGTTCACTGAAGGCAGATAAGGCCACAGTTATTCTGGTGTCACTGTTTGACATTCAAGTGTCTACTACAACATGACTGCTTATAGCTCTAATTTACATTTTAATGGAAATCCTTAATTTGCATTAACCTTTACAAGATTCTTGGTTTCAATTATTGCTCTCTGATCACATAATGCCTCTCACTTGACTGTATATATGTCAGTGTTCAAGTGGATCATCGTGAAGTCATTGCGGAAGATCTGATGCTACTGTCTTCACGCTCCCTCACACACACACTGACTTACTGTCTGGTGTAAAAGATATAGCAGAGTTATGTCCCCTTCTTATATAGTTTCAATAATTTCCAGTTATCTTAAGAATTGCAGGAGTGGTGGGGTAGCCTAGTGGTTAAAGCGTTCGCTCGTCACACCGAAGACCCGGGTTCGATTCCCCACATGGGTACAATGTGTGAAGCCCATTTCTGGTGCTCTCCGCTGTGATATTGCTGGAATATTGCTGAATGTGGCGTAAAACTAAGCTCACTCACTCATTAAGAATTGCAAAATTCATTCATTTTATATTCTACAGAACTACCTAACAATCTCATTCTCTCTCTCTCTCTCTCTATATATATATCTCTCTCTCTCTTATGTAATGGGATTAATATATTATATTATGTAAAGGGACAATGGTGAAATTTGTTATTATTAAATGGGTGATATTAAATCCAGTATTTATGAAGGTAAATCAAAAACACAGTATATATGAAAAAGAAAATCTATATTAAAATTGTAATTGGCCTGCTATTACATTAATTTAATAATGAAAATGGTAAAATGAGGAGAGAAAAAGAGAGCTTGTAATCAACCATGCAGTACTTGTGTATGAGTGATATTAAATCCAGTGCTTGAAAAGGTAACTCAAGAACACAGTATGCATTATAATTTATAATATATATTGTGGTGTATATCAACAGTATTCAGTGTTCTTGTGCTCTACATTGTATCACACTGTACCTGAACCTGGTGCTAGTTGAGCTACATTACCAGTGTCCCTCCTGTCACTGATGCTTCTTGCAGGAAGGTGTTGTTAGAATATGTACATTGTTGCTTGTTGTGGACCGATCAGTAAATGATGAACAGTCGGCTTTCACCAGGGGATGTGTCTACAGTCGAGAACAGTGAGTGTATAAATGTCATATTATCCAACCAATAATACTGATTTGTGTTGACAATAAAGAACAGGACGCTGTATTAATGTATATCCTCCTGCTGCTGTTACTCGTGTATCTCTGTTACAAATGTTCTTTTGAGATAATACAAAATCAGTAAAGTTCATATTCCAGTACTTCTTTGGTTGAAATCTGGTCCATGTTTTGAACCCACCCTTATTGCTAGTACATAACTAAAAAAGCAGTGATTACACTTGACCACTTTCTGGAAGGTATTGCATCTCCAGATTTATGTGAGTACTCGGATAACATCAAATAAATCACTGGATGATGTTGATGTTTGCTTGACACCGATACCAGAATCTGTATTAAAATGTTGCATCACCCGAATAAAGAAGTTGTTCATCCATAAAGTTTGTCCTCTACTAGTAGTACACAAGACAGTCCTATTTTTCTGTTTTATGTTTACTCATAACTTAAAATTTGCAGAAGTCACCGAAAATTCAAATAATGTGTCTAATTTTAATAGGCTTCTGGGCCACGTTTCAGAAAGCTATCGTAGCGCTACGACTGTCATAAGTCTGTTACAGTACAGGTGGTACGACAGATAGTCGTAGCGCTACGATAGCTCTATGAATTGGGCCCTGTTTTCATCTCCCTGCTGGGAATTATCTTTAAATTAACCCTGACTGTGTCATTAATTTGTGTATTTTACCTCCTGCTTGGGGGTCACCTGACAGAAAATCTGTGCAAAAAAATTGTTATTGACTTGCTATTATTACATTAATTTAACAATAGGGATGGTTAAAATGAGTGAGAGAGAGCTAGTAATCAACACACTGGTATGTTTTTGTTTGAACCCTTCACGGATAACTCCGATTTTTGTACACATTGATTAAATGTTCAAAGTTTATGATGTTGCGTGCAGTGAGTTAACACATTGTGCCATCCATGTCTGATGGCCCAGCTCATGCTGGAGAATGAAATGTACAATGGCAGAGAATGCCCCAAAAGTTCAGTCTAAAATATTGCGGTTACTTCCTGTCATTAGAAGTGCTGTTTGAAGGTGGTAAAACAGTTAAACCTCAATTTAACACCTGTTATCTTGTTTCTGTCTCGTTCCCGGGCCGTTTATCCAATTAATCAATCATTATAAGGAAGGAACGGATTGTTGATAGCTGTATCAAGGTAATAAGATACCTACACTCTACCAGAAAACACTTTCATCGGCATAATGAGCTGCAGGGTGTGCGTGACAGCATTCACTGTTTGTTGACAAAAATACCTGTAAGCTCATTATGAGCATGTAAAAAACTGTATAAATATGAGTCCATGCGGAATACTTTTGATGGAAGTTTGAGTGTATTGTATGTTCCTTAGTCTTTGTGTTTAGCCTGACTGACGGAACCCGGGTCTAGGGTTGTATGTGTAGGTATATGTTTACATTTAACGAAGCCTGGAGCTGCACTCTCTGCTGGACTGACGGTATCTTCAGACATGCATCAGGTGAGCGGCCACCATCAGCCTCCTACACAGAGTTCCGCCATACATGCAGCAGGCATCGTTTAGAAGGTGGGAATGGTGACACTTGCGACAGGTGTGAGAGCCTCCTCCTCTTCCTCTACATCTACAGTCTCAGCGGAGGCTTCCAGGACACGACTGTCAGGCGGCAGTCACCCGAGTATTGATTAGTCACGGACGGACGTAGCAGGATTCTAGCAGAGGGAGGGAGAAAGAGCAGTGTCAGTATTGCAACACTGTGGCACTAGGGGACAGCTACCTGGCTGTTCGCTTCATCTCAGTCTGACGCTGCGTCCGAGCCGTCTATGAGCAGCCTGGCCACTGCCAGCTCACCATCCTCTGGCTGGCTTAGTATTGGTGAATGGCGCTGTAGCAGCGGAGATGTACGGGTAAAGCTGTCAGCTGACTCTGAGAGATGCATGTGGAGTAAATCCGACTGAGATAGCTGGCATGGGTAATCTGTGGTCGGGATAACTGTTTACAGCTGTGAGATGTGAGGGGTCCTCATGGACTGTCCAGCGGCCAACGTGGTCATTATGGGGACTGCTCGTGTTTAATGTTATCCATCACCTGTACATGACGTCCTTTTAATTCTCACTGACTCTATTAGTAGTGGTAGTTTGTAGGTGTTGTTGATGAAACCAGGGACAAACAAATTATTACCAATTGGCATCAAGTTTGCACAAATTGTCACAGAAGCAATGGAGGAAATAGTGACCAAGCTTATCATCTGAGGCAAGATTTCTTTACCTGAAGCTAACATTTGTAAGCTTCACATACGGCTTCTGTTTGGGATGATCTTTGGGCTGCTTCAGCAGTAATAGCAGTTTGGATACACGGATGTACGGACTGGCAGACTGTTCATGTCATATGGTGTGTTAGTGTTGCTTCTCTTCGACCGTGTGCAGCGACACTGTTGACCTCCAGCAAATGATCTGGTCCATCTCGTCGTCACCACCATGGGTAATATATACGACAAGGTCCAACTTGGAGGTATTTTTACAACACAATGTTTATTTTATTCAGTTTGTTATGTTGATGAGGCAATAGACGAAAATCAGAACAATAACTGAAATAGCTTAAGTAATAAGAATGTCTTATTAAGTTAGTATAACTTCATTTCAATTTCTGTTACATTTACTTAAGTTTGTTCACAAAGTGAAAGTAAATTGATAAGTATAAGAAGAGATTTAAAACAAATGTGATTCTTTATTAAGAAAATTCCTGAGCAAAATATTCAAGCAATATTCAACATTGTTTTGTCAGTTCAAACTGTTCTAACAGTTTATTTAAACCACCATGAAACCCATGAATTGGATTTTTGTGTGACATTTATTAGATGTTAATGATGTGCATGTATGGAATACATGAATTCTGACAAGCATAGTTTGTGTATAGAATGAGATTAGAAGGATGTTTAACCTTAGTGACTGAACAAGCTTCTGTTACATCAATCAGAACTGGTGTAGAATCATTATGACCAAATATGGACAAAATAAACAGACAAATTTCCTTGAGTGTATAGGAGAATCAGATGTTGTCTCATTGCCGTCAAACGGTGAAAGGGTGTGATTTTAATAATTTTATGAGTTCTTCCGACTTGAGTTGAAATATTGAGTTAGTATTCTGGGAATGCCAAGTTTTCGTCATGTTATTGGCCTTTATGTTCTGATGTCAGTTTGTTGATTATGAGCACTCTATCTCTCTGGGCCTCCAACTTTGCAGTTATGTTTGTTTATTTGATGTTGTGTTGGGCATAGCACACAGGACTTGAAGCATGTGATGCCAGGACTAACTCGCACATCCCTTCAACATATGGCCATGTAAAGAAAAGTATTACAGGACTGTTACATAATACCAATAGCAATCATGTCAGTTAGTTTATGTATTTATCTTAGCATTGGAGCGTGTTGCAGTTTAGGATTTGTATATGTTTGAACACCAATGAATTTACCTTTGGGATAGAATGAATATGGTGAAAATGACGTGAGTATAGAATGTGTATGACAGGTGTATGACATCATGGTGGAGGAGTTGCATTGAAATCACAGGTAATACATGTGTCTGGTCATACATATAACTATACGTTTTACAGTTACTTTACTGTGGACAGTGTTAATCACTATGATTATATACTTGAGTCAAGATACAATTCTGAAATAGGCTGTAGGTGAGTTTATATATTGGTATGTATGTTCAGATATAAATATGCAAAGATCACTGCCCACAACTGCAGCATATTGTGACTAAAACGAAAATATGTTTTACTATTCTCCTGATACATGATAGTAGATTGCAATGAAGAACAAAGGAAGTGATAGTTTTTATGTATCCCTTTAAAGAAATCAAGTAAGTGTGAAAAATCAGATGGTATACAGATTAGGTTCCTCCTCCTGCCTCAGCAATCCCAGTCAATGTGGCTTCACCAGATAGCTGAATGACATTAATTATACAGGGAGGTTAAGAGTGCAGGCAGGGAGAGGATTGGTGAACATGAAGACTTACACTTGTAGCTAGTTCTTAGGAAAGCACTACAGAAATGCCACCACAAACAGGTGGTGGATCATCATGCTGTGTTAAACCTGTGATAAGTATATGAAATGGTCTGGAAACTATGATTTCTTACAATGCTTTGAAAGAGGAATGGAGCCACTTTATCAACATGTCATTTATGGCACAGCAGACATCCAATTATTTGGAATATATGCATCTCTTGAGTAATATGTCATTTATAGCACAGACATTCAATCAATTGAAGTATAACGTCCCTTGAATAATAAGTCATTTATAGCACAGACATTCAATCAATTGAAGTATAACGTCCCTTGAATAATAAGTCATTTATAGCACAGACATCCAATTGACTGAAGTATAACGTCCCTTGAATAATAAGTCATTTATAGCACAGACATTCAATTGACTGAAGTATAACGTCCCTTGAATAATATGTCATTTATAGCACAGACATTCAATCAATTGAAGTATAACGTCCCTTGAATAATATGTCATTTATAGCACAGACATTCAATTGACTGAAGTATAACGTCCCTTGAATAATATGTCATTTATAGCACAGACATTCAATTGACTGAAGTATATAATATCTCATTTATAGCACAGACATTCAATTAATTGAAGTATATGCATCACTTGCAAAATGTCATTTATAGCACAGATATTAAAATAATTGAAACGTGCTTCACTTGAATAATACAACTGAAATATGTGCATCACATGAACAATACAACTGAAATATGTGCTTGATTAGATAAGACAATTGAAATGAATATGCAGCACATGAACAATAAAATCGAAACTTGTGCATCACATGGTATTATAAAATTGAAATAAGTGCTCCATTTGAACAATACATTTGAAATATGTGCTTGATTAGATAAGACAATTGAAATGAATATGCAGCACATGAACATAAGACTTGAAGTGAGGGCACTTGAACAATAAAATTGAAATAAGTGCTGTATTTGAACAATACATAAATATTTGACATGAATAATGAATGTTGTAACTGTAAGGTCCAATTACTGGTCCCCAGATACTTCAAAGTGTTCCAAATAAATGGTCTTCGAGACAGCTCCAGATAGTGTATTGATAATTAATGTGATTTATTAATGAGACAGTTGGCACCGTGGAGATTCCATGTAAACAGGTTCTGTAGGCTGGCATATGTTGAGGGTTTGATGTGCTGAGCTACTGTGATTGTGCACAAGCACTCTAACATCTAGTTCTACAGTGCTGGACACAACACAAGGACAGCTCTCAAGTACAGCAAGAATTGTACACTTGCTGTACCACTCTATTAAGACAACCACCACATGGTAATACAATTTCCATTTGCTCCTGAAAGAACATTGAATAAAGAAATTAGGTTATACACTGTTAAGGGTACTGACTGATTGAATTATTGTTTTACTCCAAGAAGAACATGAAATAATATGTTTACTTTTGGACAGCATATGATCTGGATGGGGAAGCTCTCAACATGGCTAACAGCAAATCACATTACCAAATCTATTTGGGGGTAATACGAGAGGCATGTACTGATGGATTTCAGGATAGCTACCAATGCTTGTCAAAGGAGATTTCTTCATGCAGTATTAGCAAGATGAATTATCAGCGAATTATTCCAACATATATCCTATAATTTCTTATGAAAGTCCTTGTGTCCTGCCCAGTGCTATCTGTCTATCTAGTTCTGCATGATATTCAGCACGATATAACCTTTTCCTTTTTCTCTATATCCATTCAATCGTTCCATAACATTTGTACTTTTTCAGCCATGTGTAATTTGTGTGTTTTAGATTAATAGTTTTGCCTACATTCATTGATTGAGCTGATCATGTTTTGCATCAGTTACAGTGTGTATGCTGGCCTAGCTTGCTCCAAGTCACTGGAGCAGGAAGGCATGTGCACATATGGCTCCACATCACCATTTGGAGCATGAGGTTTAGGTATTGAATACATATTAATGATCCATATTTGTTGAAACATTGAATGATCTTGCACTTAGTAACCAGGCTTTATTTCAGTGTAATTATAATTTCAACAAAATTTAACTCATTTTTTATTTATTCTTTAATTCAAAACATCAAATATTTGAAGAACCATTTTTTGTTATTCATGGCTTGTTGGATCTACTCTGAACATTTAGGGATTTTAATATTTGAGGGATATTTCCAGGAAACTGTTTGCTCAGTTTTACTTCATAACAATATCCCCAAAATATTCTTGATACCTGTTTTTTGTTCAGTATGTGGAGAAATGCAAGCTATCCTCTTTCAGAAATGGGTTCAGGGGACTTCATGAGAATGTCCTCTGTACAATACAATGTCCTCTCACAGCTGGGACTTGTTGACAGTTTTGACATTTTAGCATAAATGCATCATTTGTTCCATTACAATATGCACACCTTCAACGGTTTACTGTTGAGCCTGCACAGACACAGGACCACCAGTGACCAGGTTATCAATGGACCAGGTTATCTATGGAGCAGGTTATCTATGTAGTGTTGCTTCCCTTTCAGGATCTCTTGGTTTGAATTTCAGATCCCCAACTATTGAGTTTCTGTGTTAACATATGTCTCATTGTCCCTTTGGCATCCTTGCCATTGTGAAAGCCAATTTACTCATATACCAATATACTCATATATCGACCATATATATTAAAATGAAAATATTCGACCATTATATAGAGAGATACGCATGACAGGGCTGAATCTGTATCTTTGTAATTGACATACGTTCCTGAATTGTTGGATATTTTTAATTACCTAAGAATTGACGTGAGTTCATGTTTGTGGAACCATATAAACTGCTGTGCACATCATAAGTTTCATTACATTTCCGTTAGGTTTCCAGTGTCCAGAAACCAAGTCATATTTCATGTGCATGTAAATCAATTTCTAAGCTAGCCAGTCAAAATCAGAATATCATGCAATTTATTTATTCACTTTTATTCATATATTTTGCATCACTCATACATTAAGTATACCACCATGGTAGTGCATCTGTTACACTGAGTTATGTCAGCTGATGAATGTTTAACAATAATTCCTTTGCCATTTGTGGTTGACTCAAACCTTTTATTAGCTAACAATTCTATTTCTGAAAGACAAAAGGTGTTCAGCATCAAGCCCACTCCGCGGAACCAGTGTGTTGAGTAGACCGCAATACATTCTCCCATAGGTCTTGGCTTGACCCTTTGTCTTGCGTGCAGCAATGTAACAAGTATTGACTTTTCGTTAGGAAAAGGCACCATTTTACCTGATAATGCTAGGTGCGTGCCATTTGCTGATTTGAGAATCTCAAAGATTGTGTGTTAATTATTGAAGACCTGGCAATTAGGGATTTATAGCACATTGTGATTTGTATGCCAGTCAGTCAGCCAACGCTTAGGCTGCTATCACAATAGAATCACAAAAATTGCATGATAACGGCTCTAACACCTCGTCATTTAAATATTATCATCCACTTTAT